CCATTTTCTTTCGACCCTTATCTATGTCTTTTAAATCGTTTTTATCTGCTTTTCAATGCTTTTCAAAGAATATGTTTATCTTTTATGGTTATGGTCAAATCTTTTATAATTTATTAGAAGTTATTAATTATCTTTTATGGTTATGGTCGTTCTCTGGGATGATCGCCGTAACTGTGTTGATGTTTAGGCAGAATAGAGTTGGTGATAGAATACTTCCCTGTGGTATACCCATCTCTAGGTGGTTTACTTTGGATAGCACATCGTTGACTCTTACCTGGATAGTACGATTTGAGATGATTCCTTGTATGAATTTGGGTAAGCGTCCTCTGAGGCCTTCTTTATGGAGGTTTTCCATTATCCCATATTGCCACGTAGTATCATACGCCCTTTCTACGTCGAAAAAAATTGTTATAGATTGCTCATTATTGGCAAGACCTCTTCTTATGAAAGTTTCCAATGAGACTATGTGGTCCAGAGTGGATCTTCCTTTTCTTCCTCCGCATTGTTTTTCTGATATTATTTTGTTTTTATCAAGGTACCAGACTAATCTTCTGTTAACTATTTTTTCAAAGATTTTACTAACGCAACTGGTTAGGGATATTGGACGATAACCATCTGGGTTTTCTTTTGGTTTGCCTGGCTTATTAAAGGGGAGGACAATGGCATGGTGCCATGAGTGTGGAATTGTTGAGTTAGTCCAGATTTTATTGAAGATGTTTAACATGTTTTCAGTTGCTATGATCGGAATATTTTTTAATACCTCATAAGTAGTTTGGTCTTCGCCAGAAGAAGAGTTGGTGCTGCTTTCTATTTCGTCTTTAATTCTTTAATTTCTTTTATTGAAAATAGTTGGTTATATTGTTTGATGTTATTAGATTCAAAATTTAAAGGTGTTTTTTCTTTTTCCATTTTATGTTTTATGAAGGTTGTGTTATGGTTGGTCATTAAGGATTTATTCCGGAAATGATTTGCTAGTGTGTTGGCTATTTCTTCATCTGTTTCCTGACTTTTTCTTTGGTATTGTAAATGGCTTATTCGACTTTCAGTATTTTTGTTTTTTATTCTCCTAATCATGTCCCATATTTTTGCTATTGGTGTGGTAGTTTTTATATTGTTTACGTATCTATTTCAGCAAAAATTTTTCTCCTGCCTTATTATTCTACGTGCCTCAGCTTTTGCTTTTTTATATTCAATTAAGTTATTAATTGTCGGGTTTTTTGGAATTTTTTAAGATGTTCTAGTTTGTTTTTGATGGTTTCTTTGCAGTCTTTGTTGAACCATGGGTTTAAAACCTTATTGTTATTATTTTTTATTACAGGTGTTGTTTGTTCTAATGATGTTTTTATTATTTGAATCCATTTTTCCATCGAAATATCG